ATTCTCGTTTTAATTGATAAATATATGGTGTATTTTGACCCATAATTGATCGAATAAATAATGCTAAATCTGGTACAGCTTGTTTTTCTAATTGAAAAAATTCTCCAATTAATAGACAATGATGTACAGACGGATAAAGTTTTATTAATAGTTTAAGTGTCAATGCGATATTCATTGTGAACATTGATAATAAAGAACGACGTGTTGCTAAACGCATTGGTACTGATGATGATTCAATAAAACTATCATCTGTTTGTGTATGAACATCATATGTAGATAAACTCTTATCATATGATAATGATCGTCTGTTTGACCAACCACGATAAATATAATGTGGAGTTTTCGATATCGAATAATCACAAGGACAACATCGTTGTGGTAAACGTGTAAAACTAGTTAGTGGTAATTCAGAGGGAAATGTTGCCGATAAACGATGACAATGTTTACATAAATCTTGTCGGGTAAAATCAAATGAAACAGGTGGTGGACGTCGAATTGAAAATGATGATGTTGAAGGTGATCTAGAAAAACTAATATTCGACGTTTCAATCAGGGAAATAGAATACTTTTTCTTTCATTACTACTGGTAAAATATAACTTATTAGGTAAATAATGAGTGTGTTCTCTTGTGATATTTAAACATATCTATGAATACTCTAGCATCAAATTTGATGCACGTTTTGTTTTTTGGGTGGAGAGTCGCCCACCCGTTAGATGAAACATTGGTTGAAACTTACAAAAATAATGAACAAATACGTTGACGTACATTTTAGAATCATCTTAACAGCTAATTAAAACATAAACTATTTTTTCCATGGTAAAAATCTTATCGAACTTCATTTAGTCCATTATACTCTGTTGTAAATATATGTATTATTCACTCTTATATCTATTAGAATCTAGCAAAAGTAATAAAAGATAGGTTAGGTCACTTTTCAATACTACGGATCCTAATGAAGGCAATCAACATGTATACTAGACGAGCCCACGAGTGAGACTGTGGGATCGATTCCCATCCCCGCCTAAAAATTGCAAATACCAGGAGGGAAGTCCGGCTTTATAAAATGTTGGAAGCCGAAAAACAGTTTCTCTACTCGGTAATCTCCCTCCTCCGGAAAAAATTTCTGAGTGTGTGCCTACGAACCATATGTGACATGATTGATGATGAGCATGTCCGGTTTATTAATCAAGTCTAATACAGCTAGAGTAGAAACAATAAGTTTCTAGGCGTTATAGTTAAAAACTTATGATCTACATATTAAGCATAATCGAATTTTTAAAAAAACGGTATTTACATTTGTTGATCATTTTTTGGATCATATCCCGGTTGTAAAAGTTTCATTAAATTTGCATAAGTTTTATAACATAAATTATTGGATGTTAATACTGAATATTTACTTGATGAATGAACAATATAAAAAAATGTGCTTGCAGCTTCAGCATGAACAAGTATATATGGATAAAATTGATGATTTTCTTCGTTTTTTTTATCATCAAAAATTGCAATTAATTCATCATGTTTATCAGTATTAATCATTCGATTATTTCCAAGAAAAAAATCTAAACCAATCATATAAGATTCAACACGATATTGAATAATATCAAAATTTAAATTAATTTTATTTAAACGTGAAGAAATTTTTCTTTCATATTCATTTGTTTGTTCACCTGTTAAAGCTATATTAAGTACAAATGTTGATGCTATAGATGATTTATAATTGATAAATGATTGTAAACGTAAAAGAATAAGATCAAATTCATCATGTGTTAATGTAAATAAACGAAAATTAACTTCTTGTTCAATTGATGATTGTAATTCAACATTTGATATTGACCAATTTTGATGTTCATTATTAATAATTAAAGAAATAAGATAACGTTGAAAAACAACTGTAGAATAATCAATATTTTGTGGATAAAGCTCAAGTAAAACAAGATGTACACCTGTTGTTGTTACATTTATTCCCATTGCAGGTACATGACATGGTGATGAAGAATAAAATTGTACGGCATCTTTATTAATGAGAATTGGTTCTTTTTTTGATGGAACTGGAGCTAACAAACAAAAGAAGAAAAAAACAATATTTTATGTATGAAATTAAATAATATTATAAATTGAATAATGTCTAATCCCATTGGGTTTGCAAAGAGTATAGACAATATGAATTCATGTTTTGGTATTAAATTTATGCTTTAAAGTATGTTTACGATAAAGATTAATTACATCTATAATTCATAATTGTAGGTCGGCTTTTTATATATAAAGGAATAATCAAATAATTCAATAAATATATCTGATAGCATATTTCCAGGAGAATAAATGATCTTTTCTATTTACTTCAAAGTGTACTACTATTTTGTATTAGAGAGCGACAGGGTTGGTGCGAGTCAGCCAATATTAAGGGGTGTACCAAAATTTTTTGGAATAAAAAAATAATTTTTGCGATTTTTTAGGGAGGTGTAGAATTATTTTTGGTAAAAACCTAAACAAACTTGCTAATTTGGTTGAGCAAAAAATTGGGGGGGAGGCGTTACACTCTTCCGGTCACGCTACCCCCGGAGAGCGAAAACGAACCGAAATCAAGTCGAACCAATAAAACCCGGTTCTACTTTGTACTAACTGAAAACGGTAATATTAAATACGTTAAAATTCTAAATCGATCACTATCGTAGTATAACAATCCTCTTTTTAATGTATTTAGGTTCGAGAACTTTTATTCTATTTCGATGAGAGAAATCAAATTCTTCGCGAATCTAAACATACTTGTTTGAGTTAATTTATTTATTGGTTCAACAGTTATAATCACTGGAGATTCATGTTCAGTTGTTGTTAATATTGATGAATTACATCGCGATGAAAATGTCGAGGAAAAACTTGATGAAAAAGTTGATGGAATATTTGATGATGAATGTCCTCCATCCATAGATAAAAAACTTGAATAATGTGATGATGATGATGAGGAGGAGCATTTTTCTTCATTAATTTTTTTCGATAATATTGGTGGTTCAATATCTTCATGATGTTGTGTTTTTAAATTATTATTATTTCCTTTTGATAGAAGTTCAACAAGTTTTGTTACAGTTTCAAATCGTTTTATTGGTCGTGTTATAGTTATATTTGATTTACTTCTTGATGGACCACGTTTTGGTTTATAGAAATAATCATTATCTTCATCGCGTAATTTTTCAAATGAACGTGGTGATAAAGAACGACGAAAGAAATTCGAATGACTACGATCATTATTAACAAATTCATCTCCATTTGTAGCAGCCATGTATTGAATTTACTTTTTTTTTTCTATCGATGAATTCTATAATAAAAATACAAAACAAAGAGTTTTTAATGATATCAGACTATCAATCTTGAGTATATATATATATTCTTATACGATACGGAAAAAGAAAGAAGAAAACAAAAAACCACAAACGTCAATAATACCTTACAAGTAAGCTCATTTATACTCTTTGCGTTCTTTTTTGTGGCATTTTTTTACTATTTGGCGTAAAAAAAAGACTAAGATTAGATGATTTGTTGTTTTAAGTATTTTTGTTAGGTTATGGACACTACTTAAACTATGTGTTTTTCTTTTACAAACTTCTATTCAAGAGACTATTAATATATAAAAAAAAGCTTTTAAATCAATAAGAAGAAGAAAAAAAAGAAGTTGTGAAGTTTTAAACGAATATGTAAAAAGAACGTCATCATTGAACAATTACTAACAATGTATGAATAAATATGTAAGTTATCAAAAGTGTGTGCTCATTCTCAGCTATTAGCTGTGAGTAAATACATCCTTTTTTTTAATGTTAAAAATGCCAAATGCTCGTTTTTCATCTCCTATCAGTGTGTCAAGTACAAATATAAATATAGTGCAATACTTAATCGTATACTTATAAAGTTTATCTCATGAAACCACGTAAATTATCGAAGGAAGAATGAATGTATAGCGAATAAAAAATATATATTTTTATAGATTATGTCACAAGAAAAAAGGATAAGAGTATTCGAAAATACATAACGATAACGTATTACGGTTAATATTATAAATACTTATTTTGTTTTGAAAAAATATAGATACAACTTGTCTAAAGTAAATTGTCTATATATAAAGATAATACTAACATTGTGTTTTCAATAATATATCATAGTTATATAAGTATAAACACCAGTTGTCACTCATAGTTTTTTTCGTGTGTAGGAATCTGAATAGCATGATTGAAAAGTAAAAAGGTGAAAGAAGTGTGGATAAATAGAAATAGCATTGTACAAGAGTCTTGACCTTCAAACTTACGTATACATTTTTTTCTTACGGCAATGATGCTGCCTGTTCATTAAGTTTCTTCGTCATCTTTTACAAAGAATATACATAACTGATGTAAAATTAGCATAACATACTTACTCCAAACACTGTATAATGCAAGTGAATGTATTAAGTGATTTACAGGAGAAGCGCTGCTACGACAATCATCATCACCATCATCGTCGGGCATTCAGAATAGCAATAATGAAGAAGAAGAAAAAAAATCCTAGACATTCTTTTTTTTTCTCCTTCTTTCTATTGATTATAGTATTGTATCAAAGTTTGTATCAGATCAATTGTAATTGATTACATCATGAAAGATTGAATTGTAATTCTTCCTACTTGAAATTCTCATTTTCTTCTATTTGTCAATTCATTTAAACATCATTTTTATGTATATTTTTTATTTTGTCGCGATGCACACATAATAATAAATTTCGTCGTCGTCATTTTTTTTTTCTACTTTAAAAATTATTGATCAGAATATTAGTGGAAAGGTTAAAATAGGTTCAAACGATTTTCACTATTCA